ATCTGAATGATAACCTCATCAATCCTTAATTTTCTATCTATAAAGTGAGGACAATAATGTACGGAGTTGTTGTGATAATGTATCAAATGCTCTGAAAAACTGAAAAAGACTGTAGGAATAAAACATGTTACACCACTCCCTTTCTTCTTGCAGCTATATCTAAAGTATTATTTGTATCAGAGCTACTTATGTTCAGTTCTGTATACTTTATCTAAATTTGGAGGAAATAATTGCTCTCTGTGACTCTGAATTAATGGATCCACAATGTACTAAACAAAATATTTCATCAATAGCATCTAAGCCCTGGATGGTATGGCTCATTGGATTGAACATTGGCCGGTGAACCAAAAGCTTGCAGGTTTGATTCCCAGACAGGGCACATGCCAGGGTTGCCGGCCAGGTGCCCAGTTGGGGGTGTAAGAGAGGCAACTGATTGATGTTTTCCTCTCACATTTGAGTTTCTCTCCCTCTCTTCCCTTCCTTCTAAATATAAATAAATAAAATCTTTTTAAAAAGTATCTAAGAGTGGTATGAAAAAAAGGAAATAGCCTGCTTTAATTACCCCAAACCACAGCAAATGTTTTGCCTGTTTTAGGTGTAGTACGTATCTCAACAGAAATACCTGGTGAAAAGAATCCTTGTTAACCAAGGAAGGTTGTCACCAAATCAAAGACCTGCAGTGCTGGAAAAAGGATTGGAGTTCTCCAAAGATCGTCCACCCTACTGCCTTATCTGACGCATACACACTTTCCCTCTGCAATATTCTCGAAACAGGCATACATATGCTGTTTAAAATACTTTCTGGAAAATGTAGGTTTATTGCAGGTAACTCTAATTGTTCAAAATTGGGCTACATAAACTCTGTCCCCCCTAACTGCTACCCTTGAGTCTTGTATTTCTCTGATAGCCACACATTTAATTCTTCTTTAGAACAGTTATTTTAAACTTTAGAACATTCATGTCCCAGTTCTTCTTCCTCTTTAGGTTAAAGCTTCTCAGTTGTCCAATTACTGAATGCATTGCACATTTCCAGTCCCTCTCCTCTGGAGCAGGGCCACTTAGCTGGACACTAAACACGTTCCTCATGTGTGTTCTTACAGTGGGACTATCACCTTCTTTGCCATAAACAGTATGCTTCTTTAGTCCAATCCACAGAGATCTTTATGGATAATGGACTGTAGAAAAAATGTATATGATTTTCCTCTCAGCTTCAAAATCACCAGTAGGTCAAAAACAGCAGAATGCTGCTCTTAAAATCTTGACAATTTGAGTTTTAAGCATTGCAAGCAATGGTTGGAACAGTCAGATTACCAGATGAGATGGCCGTTAAAATACCTCCCAATGATGCTAAAGCTCAGGAATAGGGACAAATCTATACACTCCAAAGTCAAGTCCTTCTCTGTTGGGGGGATTTGGGAATGCAGAGTAATGGCAAAAGAGGCCTGTGAGGCAAGAGTGAGGTCAACACTAATAATAACCTAGAGCTGCCAAACCTCAGTGCCATTGCTAGCTCTTTATCAAACACAGTTATGATATAACCAGAATTTTCCATGAGAGTCTTACCATGCTCTGTTCTGTATCTCCAGAAGTTACTATAATGTTTCACCATAAACCAGATACACGATCCTGGAAAGAAATTTAGAATGTCTGAAGAAGACTATAATCATCTAATTATACTCTAAATTCCTCCCAGAAACGTGAAAGCAGGAATGCCTGTTTAAAAATCCTAAGTAACACGATCAATAGGACATTATATTCATTTAATCCATTCAGGCTAATGGTAACAACTTCTCAGAATCTATGCACGAGAGTCCTGGGAAACAAACTATCGATAACAATCTGCATGAAGTCCGCGACTGGGCAAGCTGTGACCAACAGTGTTCACTGGCTGTATGGGTGGCATGTTTTGGTTGCTTCCCCAGAACTGGGGTTGATAGACAAAAACCGTATTTTAGGAAATCATAAACCTCAAACTCATTTATAACACTTGGCCAAGGCATCTACTAGCCATTACTGACATTCAAGAAAAGTTCAACAGTCCACTATTCTTAATGAGGAAATCCAAGTGAATAGAAGATGTAAAGCCAACTTTTTTTGACTGGAAGTCAAGTCAAAGGTCAAGGTGCTATGACAAAGAGGCTACTGGGAATCCTATGGAGAGAAATGCAAGAACACAAGTGACAGGTCCTTTCAGAAACCTTCTGAGCCAAACTACTTCTCTGTCAGCCATACATTAAAATGTGACTAATTCCTAGAAAACAAGACAAACTCTAGGTACACATTAATGCTTATTAACGGAATCATTTCTTTAAAGAGGCAAAATGGAAATATTAGTTTTTCTCATTAAGGAAAGAGAATAATAACCTGAAGACATTGGTTATACCTCAGAAAAATGAGTGGCTTTATTAATAACATTACCTCCACTGTTATTATTATATTAATTATTGTATAATTAATATTAATATATTAATAGTATGTTTTATTAATATTTACATTAATAAAACAAATAATAGCAGCAGTTAACATATATTACTTACTGTGTGCCAGACACTGTACTAAGCATTTTATACGCAGTCTCGTTTAATCCTCATGACAGCCGTCTGAGGGAATGATATGGATGCTGAGTTTCATAACGTGAGTGCTCTGCCTAGGGTCACGACAGCCCTGTGAGCTAGTGCTGTTTTCATCCCCGTGCACAGATGAGGAAGTCGAGGCAGCGGTCACAGGAGCTGCTCAGGGACACGAAACCAGGAGTGCGGGGCTGGGATTCTGGGCAGTGCAGCTGTACCATCCAGGATGGCTCTTAACCACTATGCTGTGCTACCTCCCCAGGAACCCGGGGGTCCAGGGAAATGCACACTAAAGCAAGATACCATCTGTTGTCTGAACTGGCCAAAATGAAAAGACCAACACACTCACTGCGGAAAAGGAGTACTGTCAGCACTGTTGGTAGGAGAACATCACGGCAAAAAAAATTTTTGCCGTAAAAGCAATTCTTATAGAAACAGGCACTCTAAAAGTTTAGAAAACAATTTACCCGATAAAAGGTGGACGATAGTTTCTTAATAAAACATTAATTTTATTTTCCTGAAAGTAGTAGCAACTCCCAGAACTCCCCTCCTTTTCTCTGTTGATTCTCAGACGGCGATCAAGGCTGCCAGGGGATGAGCACTCCACTGCCCCCAGGCTACCTTCAGTCAGCCCAGACCAAACGTTCCCTGAGAGGGGCTCCTGGCCCGCTAACATCATCACGGACTTGGTTAACTCACCTTCCCTCCCAGTGGGCTGACCCGAGCTCTGCTCTCTACTGCTTTCCACGTTTGTCTCCGAGCCTCTTTCTCAACAGGTTTAAGAACCAAGACGGAAGGTGAAAAGCTCGAACTTCCCCTTTCTGCCGTGTTCAAAAGCCATCAAAAAGACCCCTCCTTGTTTCCAGCAACATGCTAATTCCAATCTGACAAAAATGTTGCTTCTGAAACCTCATAATTCCCCGTAGCCTCTGGTTTACTGTCTATACTATACAGGTTAAGTAACAATATAAATTACTTAAGAAAAAAAAAACCCACAGAACAAAATCCACGTCACAGCTTTTCTAACAACTTCAGCCATTCTATTCTACTGACAGGTGCCGCTATGAAGAGAAACACGAAAGGTGCATGGGGCCATAACGGAGGCTGTTACTAAACTTCACTACCTAAAAATACTAAAGTTTATCATAAATGGTAGTATGCAAAAGTGATGATGCCTTCCGTTTTTTAAAACAAGCATAGCAGGTCAGCTTCCACGGGGGAAACTTCATTCGTACATCCAAAACATCTGTAACTTTTTCCTGCACTCGTGTGCTCGAATTTACTACCAACTTGGTTTCTGAGTGTGACAAAGCGATTAAAACTTGCAGGGTTGAAATGGGCATTGTTGAAACACACCGCTCAGAGAACCGGGGAGGAGCCCTACAGTGGGGACTCCGTTTTCCCCGAGAGAGGGACTGGAAAATGCTCCATATTGTGCGCACAGCATGCAAGAAGAGATTAAGGTCAGCAGGAAAATGTAAAATCGGGATGCACAAGATTGCGTCTTTTTCACCCGCATTACGTGGGCACAGATGACCCCTCCATTAAAACACAAAGCGGCCTCGCTGCCTTAAGGACAGAAGGTTGCACAAGCCGCGCCACGACAGGCCCGGGGCCTCGATTTCCCATTCCCAACCACCGTGCACCCTACCGTGTCCTCGACGTGATCCGGTGACTGCTGCTGGACAGCTCCGCCGCGTCTACGCGTCACCCGCCCAGACGCCAGCGAGCCAGGACACCTGGGCCAGGAGTCCCCGTGCGAACGAACCCCAAACCGCAAGGCACCTCACGCTCAAGTTCGTGGTTCTCTTCTCGCTGGGGAGAAACCCGACGAGCCGAGGGCAGCCTTGGCCCTCCCTCCCCCGTTTCCTGGGCCCCATCCCTGGGAGGGGCCACAAGTGAGGAGGGAGAAGTTGTGGAAACAAGACGCGGGCGGCGTGGGGTGCGCGACCCCAAGAGAGTGTAACAGAAGCAGACGCGTCTGTCCCACGCACGGTCCCTCGCTCCAAGTCACTCCGCCCCGCTCCCCGGCGGACTTCCCGCCAAAGAGGCTGCGGCGCTTCCAGGCCAGCCCCCCGCGCCCCCTCGGCCCTTCCCTGCGGGCTGCAGCGCCTCCCCGGCCTCTGGTGGCGGCCGGAGCTCGGACCCACGCTGGCTTCCCCGACGGCCGGCGTCTTTCCCGGGGCACGTCCAGGGCTCCTCCGCCTCCACGCCCCCAGGGCTCCCGTCAACGTCCCCGTCCTCCCTCGGGGTGCCCCGTTCACCGCCTCCAGCGCCGGGTCTCGTCAGGGACGCGGAATGCCGTTTCTTCCCTCCCCGCCGCCTCTCCTCGGGTGCCCACCCAGCGCGGGCCCGGGTCCCTGGCCCTTCTCCTCCGCGAGCTGCCACCTCCCAAGTCTTCCCGGCCCCGCCCCGCTCCCGGGCGGATACAGTTTGAAGCCCCTCAGGATCTCCCGGGCACGCTCGTCCTTGGCTGACATGATGCGGCAGCCGCCGCCCGCGGCTCTCCCACGCTGGCCCGGCGGAGCCTCGCAGACGATGCCCCGGAGCCGACGACTGAGCCGCAGCCGGGCCTGGAGACCTCCGGCGAGCAGCGGCAGCGGCCAGACCCGGACCGGTTTCTCCCTTCCCTCAGCTCCCGCTCCTGATCCCTTCTCCTTCCCTGTAGCCTCCGAGTGCCCGCCCCGAAGCCAATAGAAAGCCCGCCTCGGCGATTGACATCCTGATCAGCCAATAGAAATACTTAGCGGCTTCGCAGGGGGGACGAAGGGAGCCGATGAGAAGGGCCCTCCCCGGGAAGTCCCGTAGGACAAATTTTTCATTCGTTGTTGTTGCCTAGAGTTTGCCCCCGCGGAGGATTGGCTTTAAATCTGCAGAGGCTCCATGGGCCCGCTCCCGCCGCTAGGCATACTAGGGCTCAGAGATGACTGCAGGTTGCACTGTGCGATGTGGCCGAGACTACATTTCCCAGCATTCCACGGGGGGGGGGAACCAGGGATCACAGATCCGAGGGCGCAACAAAGAGGCCCAGGGACTACAAATCCCAGCATTCCATAAACCCTATTTCTCTGTAACTTAGACTCCAGTGTGCCGCGCAGTGTGCGCAAATTCTTAAATCCTCCTTCGGGTTTGGTGGTGTCTGAATCCCGGGAGTTGAAACCAGGCAGGAAGACCCTCTTCACTCTCAAAGAAGATGACAACCCAACAGAGAGGTAACTTCTGTTTACATGGAACTCAGAAATCTCCTGCAAATCATGGTAAGGCTGCAAACAAAAACACTGATTAAACCATGAAAGATAGTATAACAAAATGACTCCTTCAAGTCATGCTGGTGTGTTGATCAGGGGCGCCTTTTACGTGTTTTGCGGGGGTTTCTATTGTGCTCCTGCGCTGGACTGAGAGAGAGGGGGGGAGAGAGAGAGAGAGAGATCGTATACCCAGAATACAGGAAGGGATTTAAGAGAATTTGCTAATCCGACGCTTGTTTTACAACGAGGAGACTGAGGCCCACCGAGGCGAAGAGATTGTGTACCCGCCACAGCAAGTTGGGGCAGAGTTAGAATTAGGCCCTAAGGCTCCTGACCTGCTCCCTGGGCTCTTTGCACAGTAGGCTGGCGATATTTTTAGCAGCATGGCTGGGTGATTATTATTCTCCTTGGTAAATTGCCCCATCCAGGTTGAAACACCCAGGTTAGGTAAGCATTTATTTGGTGGATTTCCTCTCAGTGTGATGTTTGTTTATCTTCTCTCTGGTTAAGACTTGGTGTTTTGATTCATTCTTTGTTGTTCAAGGTGACATTAAATGTGATTTCAGGAAGTAGGTAAAATTGTAGTGTAAGCAAAGGTTTCCTTGGAGATCTATTTGTTTTCCCAGCCTTCCTTCCTCTTTTTGTCCCCCTTTCACCCATATGGGCACCGATCCAATTTTTCCTTTCATGCAATTCAACAGTTTTCTCAGCTTTCCTTATTTGCCAGGCTTTCTGTCAGTAAAAGGTGAAAGACATGGTCACTGCCCCCAGGAAGATAATCATCTAGTTAGGGAAATAAGGAGAATCCACTGAGATTCAAGATGGATTGTGATAAATGGCATAGAAGAAACGACATCAGAATACTGTAATGAAGGGATGTATTCCAGCTGCAAAACTTGATGGAGGAGGTGCCATTTGAACTTGAAGGATGGATAGGATCTTTTTTGCCTCTGTTAAAATTTTTTATCTTTAGATTTTTAACATACAGTAAGGGCACAATTTTTGCACTTGTGTACACCTGTGTCCCCGCCCCTCAAATCAAGGTATGGAACTGGTCCAGCACCCCTGTGCCTCTCCGCAGTCAGTACTGCAGCGTCCCATCCCGATCACTGCTCTTCTGACTTTTATTACCATAGATCCATTTTGTCTGTTTTTGAATTTCATTTAAATGTCATCATACAGTATGAGTCTGGCGTTTTCCATTCATTAGTATTTTTGTGAGATTCATCCGTAAGTATGTAGCAGTAGTTTGTTTTTTTTTTTTTTAAATTGCTGAGTAGTATTCCCCTGTATGTATATAGCACTGTTTATCTGTTCTACTGTTGATGGACAGTTAGGTTATCATCAATTTTTGGCTTTTATTAATAAATCTGCAATGAGTATTCTTATGTTTCTTGAGGTGGACTTGTGCATTCATTTCTAGGAGAGGAGGTGCTGGCTCGTACGGTGGGCACATGATCAGCAATAGTAGATATTGCCAGTCTGGCAAGTGTTTGTGCCAATTTTCACCTTCACCAGCAATGTCAGAGTTCTAGTTGACTCTTATCCTTGGCAGTACTGGGTGTTGTCAGTCTTTTATTTCTAGCCATTTTTGGCTAACGGTCACATCTCATGACCCATAGTTCTTATTTACATCGTCTCTGATGATGAGGGCCATGTGCTTATTGGCTGTTTGGATGTCCTCTTTTGTGAAATGCTTGTTCAAGTCTTTGGTTTATTTTTTTTTAAACTGGGATGTTTATCTTCTTATTGATTTACAGTTATTTTATAGTCTGGATATGGGCTTCCTTGTCTGGTATATGCTTGCAAATATCTTTTCCAAGTCTCTGGCTTGTTTTTCATTCTCCTTACTAGTGTCTTTTGACACACAGAAATTCTTCATTCTTAATTCCAATGCAATAGTTCGGTGTTTTCTTCCTTTCTTTTTTTTTTTGTAGGTTTTTAACAAAGATTATTTATTTATTTATTTTTAGAGAGTGGGGAGGGAGGAAGAGAGAGAGGGAGAGAAACATCGGTGTGTGGTTGCCCTTCGCTTGTTCCCTACTGGGGACCTGGCCTGCAAACCAGGCATGCACCCTGACTGGGAATCAAACCAGCGACCCTTTAGTTCACAGGCTGGCACTCAATCCACTGAGCCACACCAGCCAGGGCCGGTGTTGTCTTTTATGATTAGTGCTATTTGCATAGAGTTTAAGAAATCTTTGTGTACAGAGTCAGTAGGATTTTATTTGTTTGTTTATTATTTTTTAACCAGTCATCTTTTATTAAGTACTACATGAAAGGATTTTGAGGTCTGGGCAAAGGTCATGTCAGGAACATAGAGTCCACACTGGGCCTTCTTCAGTGGTACTTGCATCATGTGCATGTTTGAGTTCCTCATAGAGCGGCAGTGGTTGAAAAGCATGTAACTTGCCAGCACCATGGAAACCTCAGCGACGCTCCCTTTCTTCTCCTTGACTTATTTGTTGTAATACCAGTAGTAAGCTCTCTGAAACGATTCAGCAATGCTTTTAGGGATAAAATCCTGCATCAGTATCCATCTTGGCAGCTCTCCAGTTTAACATCCATGAGTTTCTCCTTCAATGGTACTACTGATACCATTGTGGAGTCCGGGGTGTTGTTGGTAGGAAATATGACGAAAGAGATTTACAAAGAAGAAGATAGAGAGCAAGTTTGAGGCCCTGCTGTGAGTGAGGGAGGTATAAATTGTGCTGGGCGTGGAGTTTGGGCTGTAAAGAGGGTGAGGCAAGACAAAGCTGGGAGGGTAGGCGGGGGGCCATACAACAAAGGGCTTTAGCTGCAGCCCTGGAGTCTGGACATTGTTCTAGAGGACGTGGAGGCACTGCTGGAATATTTATAACTCAAACAGAACGTAGTTGTCCTCCTTTCACCACCAGATCTGCCCCTCCTCTGTGCAGCCCTGTTCACTTACCACCGCCTCCACATAGCTGCGCCTTCCCTAGCCGGAATCCTGGGTGATGTCCTCCTTCCCTTTCTCTGCTTTCAGCTGGGCACAAGTCTGATAGCTATGGTCTAAATGTCTCCAATAACATTTCTTCTTTTACATGGCCAACCGCCACTACCCCTGTTCAAGATCTCACAGTCTCTTATTATCTGGAATATATCAAGCCACCTCAAGAGTTTCCCTGCTCCAGTTCTCTCTACATCCAAGCCGTTCCTATAGCGGCTGGTGTGATCAATCTACAATGGCCATTACTCATACCTCTCCACAGCTTAAAAGCCCTAACTAGCTCCTCAGTACCCTTAAGATAAAAGAAAAACTCCTTTGTATGGCTTACACCCTTTGTGATGTGCTTGCTTATTGTTCTAGGCTCAGCTCAAGCCTAATCTCCTCTAGAAGCCTGCCTGAAATCACTTCTCCCCAGGGAGAGCCTTCACCTGTACTCTTAGGTGCTTGTGGCAACTGTCTGTCATTGCCAGAGAGACCTGTCTCTCCCAGGGGGCAGTGAGCTCTCCTAAGTAAGAACTTTGCTGTATTTAGGTACTTACTGGGTGCCAGGCTTGTGGTTTCCAAGACACTGGCCACCTGAGCCCAGCTCTGTAGCCCTCATTCCTGAAACCTCGGTTCCAGCCATTCTGGATGTCTTTTCTGCATCAGTAGGTGTTGCCCAGTGCAAACCTCTGTGACTGCGATCACTGCCCGCTTTCCTTCCCCTTTTTGCCTGGAAGATGCCTGTTTTTTTTTCTTCCCCAACATACTCTCTTCTGTGCTTCCGAAGTGGTGTCTCTCATAGCACTTGACACATTCAAGCTTTCTGAGGACAAGAACCTTGTTGGGGTTTTTTTTTTTTTTCATATAACCTTCTAGAACGTAATAGGTGCTAAAGACATTTTTTGAATAAACGAATGGGTCGGAGTTAGGCTCCTTTGCATCTGTGCTGACTGCTTTCTGCACTCTAAAACACAAAAGGCAAATACAGGTCTTTTCCTCATCTTCAGGACCTGGAAGTCTGTGGTGCATACTGTACTTTAAAGGAATCAGTTTAAGTGTTGGGTTATATAGTAATTCCTTAGATGTCTTACTGGAGAGTTATTAAGTCTCAAATGCAGCCACGAATGTCAATTTGGTCACAGAGGCATTGTTGGCTCCACCCAACAATGCTTATTTTAAAACATTTTCTGAGCCCTGGCTGGCATAGCTCAGTGGATTGAGCGCAGGCTGCGAACCAAAGTGTCCCAGGTTCGGTTCCCAGTCAGGGCACATGCCTGGGTTGCAGGCCATGTCCCCCAGCAACCGCACATTGATGTTTCTCTCTCTCTCTCTCTATCTCCCTCCCTTCTCTCTCTAAAAATAAATAAGTAAAATCTTTAAAAAAAAGAGGTAAAAAAAATTTCTGAAGAGAGGTCAAGAACACGGTCTTGGGCTTCAGACAGCCTAGGTTCCAAAGCGGACTTTGCTACTTACTGGCTTTGGGATTTTTATACTTAGTTATTTCACTGGAAAATGGGGATAATATTCCAGGCCATAGAGTTACGAGAATTCAACGAGACAATGTAAAGCGCTTGGCACATGGAAAGACGTTTAATAAACAGTAGTTGTTGTTAGGCTTACTACATGTCTCCATTCCCCGGGTAGACAGTCGCCAAAGGGAGCTGTTGCGGGGTAAAGCTTTGTCAGAGGGGTGGATGTCAGGTCCAGGATGGTGAAGATTTGGGCCCCAGTACCGCCGAGGCTGTTTTCCCTCTTTCGGGCCTCTCCCCGTCCCGATTCCTGGACTACAGTCCAGCAGGAACCCCTTCTCCTGGCCGGGCCCCACTGGAGATGTGAGGCTGTGAACACAGTGAGGGGAACCTAGTGTGGGCGGAACTGGAATGCAGCAGCGGGAGGCTTCTGGGGGAGCGGTAAGGCCGACGGGTCGGCGGAGGTAGAAAAGCGTCGGACGCCCGGCCGATCATGGACGCTTGACAACCTGCGGGCAGGCGCCGGGAGGCCGAGATAGCGACCTAGAAGACGGAGAGGCGGCGAGGACAGGTAGGGCCCAGCGAGAAGGCGGGACCCGGCCGGCCAGGTTCGTCGGGACTGTCCGGTTTCGCGCCCGCCGCCTGGGAAGCCCGCGGCCACACCGCCCCGCCCCCGCCCCGGGGAGCGCGCCCCGCGGCTCCTCACTCCGCACCCGCCGTCCTGTCAGGGAGCAAGCCGCGGGTCCGCTCTCCCTGAAGTCCGTTCTAGCCCGAGACCCTCAGCTCCCGCACTGCGGCTGCTCTCGCTTCCCCACCCCCAAAGGCTGCCTCTCTGCCCCTCTGCTATCCATCAGAATAGCGCCCCCCACGACGGGAATGCATCACCCCGGTGTCTGCAGCCTCCTCCTCGAGCCCTCCCACTCCAGAAGAAAGCGATTATCAGCGCCTCTTTATCTCCTTCCCCCCACGGGCCTTGCTCTTTAGGCAGAGATTTTTTTTTTTTTTTGAGAGAGCGGAATTTCTGTCCATTTGTCTAATCCTTCTCCATCCCCAGGCCTTTCCATTCAATCTGTTCACTCGTGTCCACTTGGAAGGCAGGTTTTCGTTTCACCTCCCCCTTTTCCCTCCCACCCTTTTCACTCTCCTCTTACCTCATCCCTTCTCAGTAACTTTTATTCCCTGGCACTTCACTTTTTCTGTTTTCCACAAGACCTTAGAACCCTAAGTGAGACTACATACTTGTTTCTCTGATACTGTGGAAGGGCTGCAGCCCTGTGTGCCTGACTCCCCAGGAAAACTTAGTTTCTCTTGCACCAAACCATCCTTCTTTGAATTGTTCCGTGCTTCAGCTCACTAAAATTTTTCTCCTCATTTTGTTGTACTGCCCCAATATGTATCATCCTTGGAGGAGTTATCTTTTCTGACGCAGGATTCCCGGACAGTGGATTTGCGGAGCTGTGTGTCCACATACGCTCAGCACGTGATTAGATTACACAGTTGAGGGACTCTCCTGTCCCTAAGGTCTTCAGGATGGCAATATAGTATCTTCCTTGTTTTCTCAGATCTTCTTATTGTTTTCTTGAGGATTTATATACATTCTGAAATCATGTCTGGTAAAATGTCACTTCTCAGTAGAAGCACAAATTAAGGGATATTTTTTCATGAACTTACACACCATGTATTTTTCTTAGTTTGAATATGTTGCTGCTTATTTTTCAAGATGATTTCCCCCCTTTTTCTACCCGTAAATGAGTTCTTTGATTAAATGAGGCATCTTTCTTGTCTGTTTTTTGTGTCTTTTTCTTATCTGTACCTGGCCATAGATGGGAGTCGAAGACACTGTGGAAGCTGTAACTGATTGCTTTTCCTTGCATCAGCCACCTTTGTATGGGCAAGATTCTCTTTTTCTTAACTAGAGTCTGTAAATGAGGTGGCTATAACACAGCTACTGAGAAACTCCTGTGTGTTTCTTTAGGTCTTGGTTAGGCTTAAGGGCTTAGAACATGCTGCCTTTGGGAGAGGGTCAGATGGTGATTAGGGGGGTTTTACTAAATGTTTCAAACCTCAGAATAAGGACAAAATTTCTTTGACTCCAGGTTGAACCCTACCCATCTCACAAAGTAGTCACAGCCCCTGGACTCAGGAACTGATTTTTCTTTTTTAATACTATAAAATTATTCTGGTATCTGATTGAGCATTAAATTAGCCTAGGCTTTGCAAAGGAGAAGGAAAAATGATGGGAACACTTTTCTTTTGGACAGATCTTAAGGCCAGAGAATGGCAGGTGAACAGAAACCCTCAAGTAACCTCCTGGAACAGTTTATTTTACTAGCCAAAGGCACTAGTGGCTCAGCCCTCACTGCCCTCATAAGCCAAGTCTTGGAGGCGCCTGGAGTGTATGTCTTTGGAGAACTGCTGGAGCTGGCCAATGTGCAGGAGGTAAGGGCAGTTTCTAAACAATTTTTCTGTGTTCTCTGTGCTAAGCCTTCCTTTTTCAGTGGAATTTCAGTGCCAAAGCATTGCGGACCTGTGCGGTGCCCTGCTGAGGGAGGGATGGGGACTGGTGGGGCAGGGGGAGAGAGGAAGGATGGTGTCCTGGGCTCCTTCTACTCAGCGTTTTCATCTGAACTTGATGTAAAATTAGATTGGGTTGCTAATAATTTGAAAGATAGGGAAAAATGTAGTTGAATCTAATAAATTAGAAACGTAGAGTGTAAGCATGGACTGATGTTTAACAGGGGTCGTTTCAAGCACTCTTAGGGACAAAAACCTCCAGTGCAAATATTGACCAGGAAGGCTGGTCAGGTATGTAGGTAGCACGAAGCAATTGCTGCTGAACCTGAGATAGGCGTGAATAAGGAGTGCATTGTTTCTGTGGCAAAGGGCAATGTTGCGTAGGTGTGTAAAGGAGGAAGGACATGACTGACATGCTGGGAACTAGTCCTTTTTGCCTTGTTTGCTTCTTTGGTTGGAGTTATCAAGACCTTGGGTATCCAGTTTTGGTTGTTATGCCTTAAAAATGAGATGATGCAGTGAAGAATGACCAGGTGGAATAAAGAGGTATAAAGCAACCTATACTTTTCAACCTGTACTTCCCACTTTGGGTATTTTTTATGGTTGTCTCTCACTGTCCGTAGGGCGTTGGTTCCAGGATCCCCTCTGATGCTCAGGTCTGCTGTGTGAAATGGCACAGTGTTTGCAGAAGTGGCAGGGTGTACCTGCACATCGCCTCATTCACATGGACTCAGCGCAGTGGCTAATTCAAGGTCTGCCTATTGGAACTTCCTGGGATTGTTTTCCAGGTATTTGTGATTGATGGTTGGTTGAATCACCAATGTGAAATCCGGATACACAGGATGACTGTATTTACTTACTGATTGGTACTGTTATATCATTGGCTGGGATGGATAGAGATCTGGTGACATTTTTATTACTTTGGAGGTTGTGTTCAGGTACTCTTGGTGGGGTGGGCCGGCTTCCTTTTTACCATCACAGCTTCCTTCTGGCTGCCGGGATGGCGCTGGCTCTGTGGATGGCTTTCACCTGCAAATCTGGGTGGTCCTTGTTCTTGGGGGTCATGTGCATGATGCTGCTGAGGGTGGCCTGGCGTTCTTGTTGATGGTGGCCGACATATAGGAGGTGGTTGGCTTCTGCTGGCCCGTTCTTCGCGTCACGACGACTAGGACCCTTTGCTGTTGGCTGCTGGCTCCATGCCCACAGCTCTGTGGTATATCACCCCATTATAGTAGGAGTCGCACACACGCAGGCCTTCCGATGACTGGTCTTGCGGCTGTACATCTGCTTACCCCTCTTGATCAGGGAGCTGAAGCAGCTCCCCGTGACCGTGCATTGCAGACATGAGGACACGACATCCTCTCTCCTCCCTGCAACAGCCGGAGACCGAAAGAGCTGCTTTTATTTTTTAATTGTGAACTTTAAAAAAAATTTTTTAAAGATTTTTATCTGTTTTTAGAGAGAGGGGAAGGGAGGGATAAAGAGAGGGAGAGAAACATCAGTGTGTGGTTGCCTCTCACATGCCCCCCAACTGGGGACCTGGCCTGCAACTCAGGCATGTGCCCTGACTGGGAATCAACCCAGCGACCCTTTGGTTTGCTGGCCAGCACTCAATCCACTGAGCCACACCAGCCAGGGCTAAAAATAATTTTTTTTATTGTTCAATTACAGTTTCCCCATTTCCCCCTGTAACAGTGAACTTCTAATACCAGTTTTGTTCACTGGATTGGATGTGCTCTGGTGTGTTTGTTCACTGGTGTTTCCTTAGAGCTTAGTATGTGGACTGACACACTCGGGCTTTCAGCCCCAACTTAATATGTCAGAGCTGGAAAAGGAATGCTGTAGGGGAAATCGAAGAGAACTGGGTTCTTTTGAAATAGACTTTATTTTTTAGAGCAGTTTTAGAGTCACGGCAAAATTGAAAGGAAAGTAGAGATTTACCACATACCCCCCGCCCTCACACATGCACGGCCTGCCCTGTTGCCAGTGTCCCTCCCTAGCATGGAGCCTACTTTGACTCATCATCGTCACCCAGAGTCCAGCACTTGCTTTGGGTTCACTCTTGGTGTTGTGCATTCTGTGGGTTTGAACACAAGCATAATGAATGACTTGTATTCGCTAGTACAGTATAATGCAGAGTAGTTTCACTGCCCTAAAAAAATCCTCTGTGTTCTGCCTGTTGACCACTCCCTCTCTCTAACCCGTGGCAACCACTGATTTATGTGGTAGCTTTGACTTTTCCATTATGTTGTAGATGGAATCCTACAATATGGAGCTTTTTTAGGTTGGCTTCTTTCACTTAGTAATATGCATTTGAATTTCCTCTATGCCTTTCGTGGCTTGATAGCTAATCATTTCAACAGAAGAGATGACTCAGAGGTAAGTATGTTCCTTCAGGGTCACGAAAAGCCTGAGGGAACATGCCAACTAGTTGTTTTGTCGTTATGAGATTAGCGGAGAGGAGATGGGTGAAAGTGGAAGCTGGAGACGCCTTACTGATGTGGGCCTGTGGGAGAAGCTGTAGAGCATCTGCTTTGGAGAAAATGGTCGGTTACAGCTAGTTTTCTGATCACCTGTCCGGAAAACGGGGGCTAGATTTGATGATCTGCTTCGGATTCAGGACTTCAGGAGGCTGGTTGTTGATGAACCCGAAAAAGTAGACTGGACTACTGGGGTGCCTGCTGTCACTGGGGTGCTTAGCAAATCAGCTCTATCTCCCCACAGTTTGTTTTTTCCATGTGTGAGCTGGGAATACGCTAGTTGTCTTTCCCTGGTCTGAAGTTATGGATGTAGTTCTTGGAACCTTTTTTTAAAAAGATAAAATTGGGTAGTATTACCATTGGTATCCCCAGAATAACTTGGGTACCCCTGTTTAGATTTCACTGAGTTTGGTAAATTGGCGAGTAACGGGTCCATATTTGTGAGTAAAAGAAGCAGCCAGGTGAGATCGTTGAGAGCAGAGCGGGCAGTTCGGGCAGAACAGCGTCTCTTGCACTTTCCTCTCGGATCGCTCCAACACCAGTGTTAGTGAGGAACAGGTGATTTTTTTTCACATTTTTTTATTGTCGTTCAAGTACAGTTGTCTCCATTCCACCCCTGACTCCCCCCTCAGGAGTAGGTACTTAAAAAAAAATACTTTATTTATTTTCAGAGAGAGGGGAAGGGAGGGGGAAAGAGAGGGAAGCATGGACGTGTGAGAGATACATCCATTGGTTGCCTCCTGCACGCCCCCGGCTGGGGACCTGGCGGGCCTGGGCCGGGACAGCAAGTCAAACCTGTGACCCTTCAGTTGGCAGGCTGGTACTCAGCCCACTGAGCCACACCAGCCGGGGCAGGAGTACGTAATTTTAATGAACATTTGTATTTGGGGTAGCCTGATATCCTGGTTTTCCGTCCCAGCCTGGCTCTGCTGCCGCACTTTACGCTGTGCTCGTCTCTCCCAGCGTCCCAGCTCACACACAGTCCTGAGACTTGGAACCCGCCCTGCACTCTGCTCAGTTTGCGCTGATGGTGGCCTGCGCTGCCCCTGCCAGGCTGGTGTGTGCACAAGGCTGCTCCAGCGTTCGTGTTGATGGCGAGGGAGTCTTGAGAAGACCTGAACTGTTTCAGGAACCTGTTGTTTTGTGTGCACACGTGGAAGCAGAAGCAGTGGCTTGGGGATGCTGGGCGGAGCGTAAAACATGTATTCCTGAGGGAGAACAGTTAGATTGGGGGCTGTAATAATCTTACTTATTTTTTCCCAAAGAATGAAAGCGTCGGAAGGGACCAGCTCATAAAACGGTATAGAACCGCGGCACGCGCTCCCGCGCCCTCTGCTCGAACACCGCGGTGATTGGTAGGCAGCTCGGTCTGTGAACTCTTTCCTTTCCTCCTCAGCTGGCGGAAGGAGCTAACGCCGCTTACTTGCAGTTGCTGAACCTGTTTGCGTACGGGACGTACCCAGATTACATAGGTGAGTTGGTTAAGATCCTCCAGAGACTTTTCTTGTAACAAAGTATAGAAATGATCCCTGAAAGTATAATCTTAAGACTTTTCCTAATTATGTCCCTCTGTTCAGATGTGTTGCTTCCTTGAGGGTCGCTGGGGTTTGGGATGTAAAAAGCATGGGGCGGGTCTTCTTGACCCGGCTGCCTCCCATTGCACTGCTCTCTGTGGGTGAACTCACACGAGGACTCGCCCTTCTCACCTTTTGCTTCCCAGGGCTGGCAGGGGGACTTCGTTTATGCTCTTCCATGAATAGAGCCGTGTCTGTGTTCCAGATGAGATTCTGGAGAACTGGTGTTTGTAGAACACTTGCAGTGTTGTGAAATGTCAGAATACTCACTTGTAAAGTATTTAAACATTTTAGATAGTGTCAGAATAATATTGCCATACTGTATTGAAGAAACTTTGGAAAATAGGGAAGAAAAAAGAGTAGTTGTACCAGCGTTCATTAAACTGCTATTAGCACTGTGGTGCTGGATTTTCCCTCCTCTGCTTGGATTTTTCATTATGTAGGCATAGTTAGATTATGTATACAATTTTCTGTTTTGCTTTTCCACTTATTTCATAGGCATTTACCCATGTTTTAAGTCTGTACATTCATTTTTAGTATTCCATAATCTAATACTCCGTAATCTACTTAGCCCATTCTCTTTTGTAGGTCATTTGAGTCATTTAAAATTAGAATCATAGACAGCATGTCCAAATGCTAACTTACTTCCACTCAGGCCTTGTTTGCTCGGCTTCCCCGGTTTATTTTAGTGGCCTGACAAAAGCGTGGCCGTTTATTTCAGTGGTGTGAACCAGGACCTTCCCCACTGTACCCCTGGTCCCCTCTTTGTCCCTGTCTTTCTTGGGGGCACTTCTGCTTTCTGCTGCTCCCAGACTGGACAGTTCGCCACTCGCCGGTTTTTTGCTGACCTTCGCTCTGTCCCAGTGAGTGTGTCCTCTGCTCCTGTCCTCACTAAAGAGGCAGCATTGCACAGACTCCGGAACCCGAGTCTGCATTCTGTTCGAGCTCCAGTTCCACTGGGTGGGTCTTCCGGCACATTAAAGAACCACCAGCATCTCAGTGTCCTTCTCTGTGGTAATCCAGGTCCACAGTCCTCTGCCTGCACTTCTTGGGCTAGATGTTTCAGAATCAGCTCGGGGGAATCTAAACAGGTAATACGCTGCATGTGCCTTTTTACGTAACACCCTTGAAGGGTGTGGGCAGCGCCTGTGGTCAAACAGTCATAATTTTGCAGCGAAACAAGTGAATATTCCCAACAAGTGGGATAAAAAGCCTGCCTTAATTCAGGTCGAGAATTGCTACCAGGTGAATTTTAGCACCATATCAAGGAAAGAAGATCAGTTTGGATTCACCTTTTTGGAATCCAGGATTACGGATAGGGAATTGGAAGCTGTAGAATCTATCTCGTGGGGTTGTTGTGAGGACCGGCTGGGTGTGCGCGCGCGCATCTGGATCTCTGTGTGGGTCCGCGCCAAGTAGAGCTTGCCATGGGTGTTACCTGCAGCTGCCACCGTAACTGCGTTAGCGTCTTCGCTGTTACTGCAATCTTGCCCATCCTTCAAGGCTCATTTCGAACTCCGTGTTTTTTCCCTCTCCTGTATCTCCCCAATGTGATCGGGCTCACTTGCTCTCTCATTCTCACCCCTCCTCCCCTCTTTCCCTAGCTCGCTGTCTCCTTCCCTCTTCACTCTCTCTTTCTCCTCCTTTTTCTCTCTTCTGGCAGTTTATGCCTTTCTTCTGTTCTGTCTTGCATTTATGAGACAGTGCCTTACACACAGCAGATGCCCAGTGAAGATGTGTTGAACTTGACTGAATGTCACGAAGGGCACAGATAGGATTCCAGTAAGATAATTGTCCAGTGTGATCATGCCTGGGTTTTCAGGAGGCGAGGCTCTTGGAGCACAGAGACTGAGGCTCGTCTCTGGAGGCGCACGGCCTTCCACAGCAGGCGGGAGGGGCTCGTGGGGCGTTTGCCTGACGATAAGTGCAGAGTCATGAGAGTGACTCAGTGGTGGATTTGGTGTGGGGAGGTGCTGTGCTCATTCCATAAAGGAATCCTAATTTCATTTTGTGTCTCGATTTTTGTGGTGGGTGGGACCGAGCAGCCAACAAAGGGAGCCTGCCAGAACTCAGCACGGCGCAGCAGAACAAGCTGAAACACCTCACCATCGTGAGCCTGGCGTCGAGAATGAAGGTACAGCCCCTCGCCCTTCCCGTCCTCCTCCTCACCTCGGGCGGGTCTCTCCTGGCATCATGTGGAATTCCCAGCTACACACAGTGGAGTCAGAGCACCAACGCACAAAGTTTGCTCAGCAAAGGACAAGAGAGGAAAAGATCATTGAAATAGTGTTGACAGTTATTCACCCCCCAGTTTAGGAAAAATATGCCCAGGAGTGACTGGGAATCGGCAGCTTCCAGTTCTGGCGCGCCGTGCTGCCTGCGTGGTGCGAGCACTTTCCCTCCCGAAGGGGCACTGCTGTCTAGAGAGAGGTATTCTTAAAGCAGCCGGGCATCGCAAGGCGAGTTACCCACTTCGCTTGTTGCTCGGTGTACAGTGAGCTGTGCTAGTGCTGGAGGAGAAACTTGCTACGTTGGACTTACTGAGAAGTAGATTTTTAATATGTGGCTTTCCTCTGGGGATTTTCAAGGTTAATTTTACTCATTGGAATTTCTTCCTTACATGTTGGCTTTAGGCCTGAACCTTCTGTGAGATGTCATCATTCCACTATGTGTGACTTCAGTTTAGAAGCAGCCTTGAGAACAGCTGCTTGTAGTCATTAGCGGAGAAGACCCAGGCTCGGGTAATTTATCGTTGATTTGGCTCTCTGCCTAGTCCCAGCCTGAGTTTTGGGGGACTGTGCCTTTGAAAAAGTTGCTTTTTGCATTTCCCCTCTGTGATTGAGCTCGAGAGGTGTGTGTTTCTTCTTGCGTTGTCATGGCTTGGCTGAAATCACTTTACATGATGCAATCACAAATTTCTGATTCTCAGCCTGACATTTCATTCAGGTGGGAGGCCTCTTTGTTAGGACATGAAGACCTGACCTTTTTTTTTCTTTGTCCTATCATGGACTTCTCAAGTGTAGCAAAGAGTAGGGGTAGGTTTTCCCTTCAGTTTTACAACCTGACATTGTAAGCCCACCTGCCGCCCCTGGGTTTTAGACCTTCAGTCATAGAAAACCCTGCCAGGTGTGTTTGCTTTTCCTCTCTTCTGTGCATGCATTCTCCTCCTGTCTGTTTCTGCAGATCTGGTCACTGTATTAATTTCTAGACTAAAAGTAATGTGTCCGGATTTGCAGAAAACTGGGTGTGTAGATACCCAGTTGTCTTGGAGTCACGCAGAACGATGGTGTAGCCCAATAAAGGACTGTTGATGGGAATTGAGAGTGGTTGCAAAGAGTCCGAGAAAACCACTGTGAACTTCAGGATGACCTCTGAGCTGGCTGTACTGCTGGCCACCTGTAGGTGGGTGTGTGGGCCTGCAGGTGTTTCTGCTTGTACTCGGCCAGGTGAGCCCCCAGTTTCTCCTGGCCGGTGTCTGAGATTAGCGTTTTGTGATGATCTGGCATTTCATGCAAAGTCTGCGAACTTCCAGAAGGTGGCAGAGTAGCATATACCAAGTATTTACTTTTCTGCAAAGAGTTTAGGGCCTCAAGGAGTTTGTTTTCGGGCAAGAGAGCTAAAGGTGGGGCAAAGTCCAGGAGGCCAAGAATCTTGGAGAATGCATTCCCAGATGCTGTGGGTCCTGTTTGGATCCCACAGTTCTTAGAGCTCATTTATCCATCTCTTGTTGCCATAGATGACAATAATTATCACTACACAGCATTTCCCAAAGCCCTGAGGCAGCTGTTGGCTATGCTGGTAATTCCTGCATTTCTTTAATGTTTGCCAGTGGGTTTTGTAAACATCACATGGCCTTATCTGCAGTGTATCCCCTACTCCGTGCTGCTGAGGGACCTGGAGATGCGGAATCTCCGGGAGCTGGAAGACCTCATCATCGAGGCTGTCTACACGGACATCATCCAGGGCAAGCTGGACCAGCGCAACCAGCTGCTGGAAGTGGACTTCTGCATTGGCCGTGACATCCGCAAGAAGGACATCAATAATATTGTCAAGACCTTGCACGAGTGGTGAGGCCGAGAGTTGGAGGGCTCTCTTCTCTTTAGGGAGGGGGTATCTAGCCTCCATTTGGGGAAATGCGGGCCGCAGGTATTAGCTGGGGCTGCCTGGGGAGAGTTTGCCAGAGAGTGAGGGACTACGTTTGTGACTGTTGCTGTGTGGCAATAGGAGTCACTTCAGGCCTCCTAGTGCCTGGGCTGTAAAAGAGTTTTTGCCCTAGTACAGCCAGGGCTGTTTAACGGGGGCTGTCAAATGCCCGGAGATGGCAGGTGGAGCCTCTGAGGCCTAGCTATGTGGCCCCGACCCTGCGCTCTACACACCAGCCTCAGAGGTTGCCCGCACTCGGGAAGTGGGTTTGGTGAGATCTCTCGGGGAGGGAACCTGTGCTCAGCAGCGGTGACACTGGGCCGGTGTCTGTAAGACATTGTGGGGGACAGTGAGGACAAGGAATGGGTCGTTCTGAGGTGGGACCCAGACTCACACACTACATTAATAAAACTATATTCTGGCATAGGAAAAGGAGTGGATGTTTGCATGTACTGTAGTTTAACAGAGTTTTAATAGAAGTTGATGTTTGCAAGAGCTGTTTCAGGTTCTGGAAGGGTTTGTTATGAAGTTATTTAAATGATTTGGGTCTTATGAAGCCAGACGGACTGAAATCAGAGATTTTAGCTGCGTTGTGAAGCAGGGGCGGGGAGTGTGCGCCCAGGCGGGCGGGCGCGTGGCAGTGTGGAGGTCAGGGAGCAGAGTGGGCCGGCGTTGTGTAGAGGGGGAGGGGGGCTTTTCTGTAAAACAGGTGGAGTCCTGGCTTATCCCCAAGGGGAGTGTATCTCGATTTGACCCCCTGGAGTCTAATGCTGCCCCCACCCCGAGTGCCCTAGTTTCCCTCGCTTCAGCTACTGTTGGCCCACCCCTCACCCCAAGTGCTAGTCCAGGTGTGACCCCACCTTCCCTTTACAACCTCTGACCAAAGCAGGAACTTTCAAAAGATTGTAGAACTCTTAAAGGAAAATAAATGGGAAATACACTTAGAAAACGCCCCTGACGTGAAAATGGTCTGGCGTGCCAGGTCAGCTCTCCGGCCCACGGAAGCTGGCTGTCCGGCGCTGTTTTTGACGTGGCTGACACATGTTCACGACTGTAGTCTGGCTTCCTGTTTTCAGCCCCCGACAAGTTTCCACCCAGAGGTGCCGTCCTAACCCCGTCCCAGGAGGTTTATTAGTACAGATTCTTAAAACTTTGTTTCGGCATTGGAGTTCAAATTGAAACAAAATGGGATGTAGAGTGGCCCCACAGATAGGGCAAAATGTTCACATTATTGAATCTTAAGTGAAGGATTATGTGGGTATTCATTGTACTATTCTTGCAACAACTTCTAGGTTTAAAATTTTCAGAATAAAAAGGGGAAAGAAAACGGAGGGGTGACAGGAAGTAACTTAAACTTCTGAGAAAGGGGGCAATCTTCAAAATCGGATGCTTTTAGAAAATAATTTTTTCTTTTGAGAAAAATGTAAGTTCTCCCTTCACTGCTTTTACCTTACAATGTGTAAAACTCCCCAATGGGATGCAAAGGTCGGAGACTAAAGCTGTGTTCTGAGGAACTACCCCACGTTCTCTATGTGTGTCGCTGCATGCCCCGTGCTCAGAAACGCCCCTCTCTCGGACGGAGTGCAGGGGCACGAGCCCTGACGGGGGGGGGGGGAGGAGGGGGGTGTTGCAGGAAGACGCACCCCGTGAGGAGTTGCTGGGACGGGAGGTTTCGGAGCCCGGAGGAGAGCTCCCGGCCTTCCTGTGGCTCAGGACCGGCTGCCCCCTTTGCAGGTGTGATGGCTGTGAAGCAGTTCTGCTGGGCATCGAGCAGCAGGTTCTGAGAGCCAACCAGTACAAGGAGAACCACAGCCGGACCCAGCAGCAGGTGGAGGCAGAGGTAAGGAGGGGGACTCTGTCCCCTGCTCCAGGGGCGCCCTGTGTGCTCCCTCGTCTTGTGAGTCCTGTTCCAGATGAACTAAGCCGTTACCAGCAAACAGGCGTGGGGGTGGGGGTGGGGGTGACACAGTCTCTGTCCTTGGTGCTCTCTGTCTCCTTTCTGCTTCCGGATCGGCAGAGGGCCAGTCGGCTTAGAAAGCCGAGAATGGGTTGTAATTCCTCAGGACACGTGCACTTTATAGCTGAAGAGCAGAAGGCACGAGGTTGGGGGCGTACCTTAAAGATGGATGGGAGGAGGCACCAGTCTAAGCTCTTCTTAGCTTTGGGGAACTTAGTTCCACTCTACAGCGTTCAGCAAGATGTCAGCCACCCTGGTTCAGCTTGCTTTGGACAGCCCCGGGAAGCAGACCTGACGCGCCGCTTGAGCAGGTGACAGTCAGTGGGGTGCCTGGAGTCGGGTCCCTGAGTGAACCACACAGAGGAGACTGCAGACCCTACAGCCAGGTCGTGACTGTGGCAGGGAATATATTCAGGGAACACTTGCAGCTGTCTCGTCTTTGACTTACGGTGGAAACAGAACAGCCGTTTTGAAAATCAGACTGTAAAAATAAGAAAATTCAAATTCAGGAATCAATACCATTAGTGTTCAATTTTTTTGAAAACTAGCAAAGGACTAGCAATAATATTTTCATATTATTGTTTTTTTTTAAGATTATTTATTTATTTATTTTTGGAGAGAGAGGAAGGGAGGGAGAAAGAGAGGTAGAGAAACATCAATGTGTGGTTGCCACTCGTGCGGCCCCCACTGGAGACCTGGCCCACAACCCAGGCCTGTGCCCTGACTGGGAATTGACCCAGCAACCCTTTGGTTCGCAGGCCGCACTCAGTCCACTGAGCCACACCAGGCAGGACTTTGGAATTACTGACGATGCTGTAGACCTTTTAAAATTTTTTATTTTATTTTATTATTTATTGATTTTAGAGAAACATTGATTAGTTCCACTTATTTGTACATTCATTGATTGATTTTTGTATGTGCCCTGGCTGGGGATCAAACCCCCAACTTTGGCTTGTTGGGATGACGCTCTGACCAACTGAGCTACCAGGCCAGGGCCTACTGTAGACCTTTTTCTGGAGATTTATTATATATTTGCAGATACATAAAGAATGGTACTTAAAACAATATCTTTAAAACTGTAGCGATCCTAGGAAGTCAGTAAAACTTGTAACTTACTGATGTAAAAAGGGACAATTTTTCCTTTCATTTCAATTTTTAGTATCAGTAGAATGTCATAAAGATATGTACCTTTCTCCTCAATTAAAAAAATTCTTGCTAAGAAATAATATGAGTTATAAAAAGCAACAACAGTAAGACTCAGGCCCCCGGTACTGCTCTGCTTCTTAAGCTGTGTGGTCGGTGCCGTGTTCATTTTGTTCTTCTCTAAACTACACATATGTTGTAACCTTTCGAAATGTGTGATATATTTCATACTAAAAAAAGAAGAGAGGGGAAAATGTGGTGGGTGAAATAAATGCACGTGAAGATAAAAGAGTGACTGTGGTATCTGTGGCACCTGCTTGTCCTGGTCGCCGGTGGCCTCTGGGCAGGACACAGGCGCCCGCCGCTGGCTCAGTGGGCGTTGGTGGTGTGCCGGTCGCCTGGGCCCTGTGCGGTGGCCTCTGGGCGGGACACAGGCGCCCACCACTGGGTCAGTGGGCGTTGGTGGTGTGCCGGTCGCCTGGGCCCTGTGCGGTGGCCTCTGGGTGGGACACAGGCGCCCACCACTGGGTCAGCGGGCGTTGGTGGTGTGCCGGTCGCCTGGGCCCTGTGCGGTGGCCTCTGGGTGGGACACAGGCGCCCACCACTGGGTCAGCGGGCGTTGGTGGTGTGCCGGTCGCCTGGGCCCTGTGCGGTGGCCTCTGGGCGGGACACAGGCGCCCACCACTGGGTCAGCGGGCGTTGGTGGTGCGCCGGTCGCCTGGGCCCTGTGCGGTGGCCTCGGAATTTGTTCAGAGCCCTTAAGCTCAAAGCGGTGGCATTGGAAGTCCTCTCCTGGTGCTACAGGGCTTAAAGTGATGATGGTATTTAATGAGTTTTATAAGTGGGGTGTCCTGGAGTGTGGCAGAGTGGGGCCCGGAATTACAGCTAAGGAACAGTACATTGCTGTGCCTTTTGAAGGGGGATTTGTGAAGTTTGAGGATTTCCCCTTCTCTGTTACATGTGTCCTTGAAGATAAAGCCTGAGTCTTCTGTGTCTTTGTAAGACCAGTGCCCCCTTCCGTGCCTAGCCCACAGTGGTTGCTCACGTGCGCGCTGAACCGAATGTTTCTGGCACAACCTGGAAGTGTACGGCTAACTCTGCTTTCCGTGAACTAGAGGGAATTTATGTTGGATGCACACACTGCCCTGTGTGCTCTGCATCCCCACTCTGTGGGTGTTCAAGCCCTCACTGATTTTTAACTCTACTTCAAGGCAAAGAAGTATGAACTACTTTTAATTTAGCTTTAGCCAAAGACAAATTCAACTATGAAAATAAGCCTGCTGCTTCTCTGAGAAGCTGTGTTATCTGTCACCTCTGTGACTGTTGTGGCCTCTTCTCTGCTCTGTGATTGATGCCTGAAAAGTAGGAAGGGCTAGCCACTCTATTCTCTCTGTCGATTCTAACTGTGGACCCAACCCTGGAAACACGTGAGGTTTGGAGGTGAAGCGCGCCCACCTGACCGGGGCAGCCTGCGTGAGACAAGCCGTCTTCGACCTTTTGGTCGAAGGGCCTGGTTGGAAGGGCCTGGCCCCCGCTGGCTGCCCTGTTGCACCTGGTCTGTCGTCAGTGGTGGTAGGGTAGGGGGTGGGCTTGGCTTGTGGTACTGAGCCAAGAGGGATGAATGGCACTAGTTTCAGAATTTTGAACAGTTCAGGCTTATTTCCACGGCGAGCGGCATCCGCTGAACGAAGGCAGATGTGAACGTAGGTGACGTGGGTGACACCTGGCTGACGTCGAGGCACAGCCATACTTGGACAGCAGTGTGGGCGAGATCTTTAAGTTAGGGTTATTTAAAAAAGAAAACAAAAAAGGAAAGGAAAGGAAATGGAAAGTAAAGGGGAAAGAAAAGGAAAAGAAAGGAGAAAAGGAAGGAGAAAGGAAAGGAGAAGAAAAAAGAGCCAGGGCATGGATTTGTAACCAGTGACTCACTGATGGCAAAACATGGGTATGGGTACCCCTGCTGGCAGAGCCTGATACTGCCACCAGGTGGCAGTAAGGAATAAAGTTCAGGAAAGAAATTTGAGAAGGCTCAGTAAAGAACACCTTCAATACCAAAGAAATCAATCTGCTGATTTAGTAATTATCTAGGCCCTGGCTGGTGTAGCTCAGTGGACTGAACATTGGCTGCAAACCAAAGGGTTGCCAGTTTGATTCCCAGTTGGGGCATGTGCCTGGATTGTGGGCCAGATCCCCAGTTGGGGGTGTGGAAGAGGCATCCACATATTGATGTTTCTCTCCCTCTTTCTCCCTCCTTTTCCCTCTCTCTAAAAATAAATAAATAAAATCTTTAAAAAAGTAATCATCTAGAAAATCTGGAACAGACCGGTATGAGGGGGAGCACAGCCAAAGCCCTGTCGGTTTTCCGTTCAGTAAATGGTGATCGGACTGCTGAGTGTGGGGTGCTGACCACCTCCCAGCAGAGGCACACTCAGTATCTGTGGACTGGAAAAGGAAATACATCTACAAAGAATGAAGCTGTAATTCTGTCGTGTTCTGCTGGTATTTATGCTTCTGTTGCACTTGACCGAACTTTTTTAGTCATTCTCTCAGTGAGTTGGTGATTTTTTTCTTTTTTGTCCTTAAATTAGATTGCTTTTTCTCAGAGGGAAAAACTGGATGTTTCCCTCCCCTAAATTTTAAAATAGCTTCCTTTTGGCGAGTTGTAGCCTCAAGAGCCTGCCTCCTTAATTAAGCCAGCTCTGTCACTTTTTACCTGAGAATGTTCGCTCCTTTTCTCCGTTCCCCGAAATGACGCACGTTAGTTAGTTACGATTCCAGCATACCTGGGGAAGATAGAACAGTAACATTATGAGCTGTTTCATTATCTCTGAGCAGGCACCCTGGAGGGGAGGCCATGATTATTTGAAGCATCATAAAGCATCTTCATTCATATTTGATTTTGGAGCACGCTTTTCTTCACATTAGGATGTGCCTATGCCTGATGCTGGTGGAATGTTAACGTACAGCTGTCGCCACATTCACAGAGTAGGCTTTGTTCGAGCTGTGTAGATGATAAAGCACAATTGGACAAGTAAGCTCTGTTTCCCGTGATGTAGAAGCCCCCACAGGAGTTCGGTTAGTACAGTCCTGGGGCTTGTTGGCTGTTAGAGGGCAGGGCCCCAAAAGGGTGCCTCCCGGCTCCTCCCGGAGAGTGTTCTCTCTGCCTCCAGCTCCTTCCCGCTGCGGACTCTACTTTCTGATGTCTGCCTTCGCTTGGCCTCACAGCCGAGCAGAGCTTTCCTACCCCGGAAGCTCTGCTCTCTCCTTTTGCCTGAACATTTAAGGTCTGGTAAGCACGGCTGCAATTTTGTCAGCAGGTGCGGTCCCACCTGAAAATTCCCGGGACCCATGTTTCAAAGGACTGGATATAAACTCCAGGTCATTTCAGGTAATGGCACAGGGGTGGCCTGCAAGTCGAACCACTCAAGTAAGAAAAGGAGTAGGGCCAGTGGGGTAGTGTTGTCCTCATTTGAAGGGTAGCTTTGTGGAAGAGGAGTTAATTGGACTTCTCACGGTTGTTTCATGAGGCCGAAACAGGTTTCCTTGGTGGACCTACCTGGGCAGCCTCTCTTGGGTCTCCGAACACACTGTCTGCACTTAGACCTGCCCAGCCACTGCAAGAATCCAGTTGACTCCTCACTCCCCTTCAGTTATGGGAGTGCTTGGTCTAGCAGTCTCTTGTGTGAGTTCTGTGTGTTTAAATGCTAACGATCAAGCTGACATGAGCAAGGCATGTCTGT